AGCTTTCCTGCTCCTCTGATGCTGCTTGGCCCGCTGTGTTCATCCAGCTCTACACCTTGTTATCTCAGATTCTCTAGCATCCGCAGTTCCTACTATCTCTGAACCAAGATGCCCTGGTGAATCTGCTATTCCTCGTTAAAGACATTTCTTTCATGCACACAAGTGACCACCTTGAACTTGTTAGATATTTACGGGGATTAAGGCTCTGATGCAACAATGTTTCCTGACCCCTGATCTGTCTCACTAGTCATTCTAGCTTCTTATCCTTTACTACAGATGGAATTGGACTGCTTTTTCCTAAGATGTGTATCTGCCTTCTGGAACAAAGTATACAGGTATTTTCCCCCTTCTCTGACATGTTGCGCTGTAAGCTCAACAGATTTAAGTTAGAGTTCCTGTAGTTTTAGATATTTTAGGCAGCTGTGTTTGCCCAGGACCACTTTTGGGGCCAGAAGACCCCAGGTTCCCCAGCTAAAATACACATCATTTGTCTCCCCATTGCCTTTGTGCTAATTAGCTAGTTAACTTGTTAATTTAATAATCATGTAAAATTAATTGCTAATCTTTACAACAATTTTACCAAATCTTTTAAATGTGCTAACCATTTACAACTGAAAGTTATTCACTCCTTAATTAACTGTTTCGGTATCTAGATTTCAATTTTAGTTTGAGTATTCAGTTTTAGTATTCAGTGTTTTACTGTTTTTTAAAAATTTTATCCATTTCCCCTAACTCAGGTGTCCGAAGCTGGCTATTTATACAGTCCCTTATAGTAAGCACATGCCAGCTGATTAGCTTGTCGGACTCCTATGATGTCACAACAAAAACAAAATTGCTGGAAAAGCTCGGCAGGTTTGGGAGCATCCATGGAGAGAAATCAGATTCTGAGGAAGGGCCATTAGACCTGAAATGTTAACTCTGATTTCTCTCCACAGATGCTGCCAGACCTGCTGTGCTTTTCCAGCAGTTTCTGTTTTTGTTTCTGATTTCCAGCATCCGCAGTTCTTTTTTTTATTTTCTATGATGTCACTGCTGATTTTCACTTTTTTCAAACTGAGCATGCACTGGCTCTCACCTTCCCTGATTAAACAGAGTTTCCACACTTACCAAAGTCTCAAGTCTTCCATTCAGTGCTGACTTCACTTCAAAGACCGCATATTTATGTTTATTCTGACTAGATGAGACAGTTCTGTGCAACTGTTGTTCAATAATTAGTCTAAGCTAGCTACAATTGCTCACAGCAGACAATTTCCTTTTATAAGAATGAAAGAAATTTCAGACCATAAGATGTAGGAGTAGAAGTAGGCTGGCCATTCAATCCATCGTGTCTGCTCTGCCATTTAATGAGATTATGATTGCTCTGATTATTCTCCACTTCACACTGTACAGAATGGCTTTAGTACCTGTGAATGTTGATAAAGTTTTTTTATGAATAAAGTATATTTTTTGCAGTAATAAAAACATCCTCAACTTCACTTTCCTACCCTTTTCCTATAACCTTTGATTCCTTTACTGATTAAACATCTGTCAGTCTCAGCCTTGATATTCTTAATGATGCAGCCTCAAAAGCAATTTAACTGAAATGGTAAAAGTAACTAACACTACATTTTAAAGTGAGTTGTGCACATTGTTAAAACAATGCATAGAATGCTGTGTCTTTGAAACCTTTCTGTGCAATGCAAAGGATTTGATATGTTGATGACCAATCAAGATAGTGACTATTTGGTCTCACATAATGCATTAAAAGAAGTAAAACATCCAATGCACTTCAAAGGAGTGTTATCGAGTAAAATGTGACGCTGAGCCACACAAGTAGGTGTTAGGGCAGTTGACCAAAGAAGTAGATTTTAAGGACCATATTTATGGAATTATAGAGATGTGGAGAGGTTTAGGAGGGAATTTGAGAGATTTTGGACCCCAGCAACTGAAGGCACAGCCATTGCCAGCAGAGCAATTCTGAGTTATTGATATGAAATGCAAAGTGATTCAGTTTCACTCGAGTATTTCTGCTCAAAATGGTGAAGTTTAAACTGAGACATTGGAATGTACCTGATCTGTTGGTTCCAGCATGCTTTCTGTACATAGTGATTTCATATCATGTACAGAGTTGTGCTGCTGACCGTAGCGGGAGGGGTGATTGCGATCTGCAGTATATATCTCTGAACCTAGTTCTTGTTGCAGGCTTCACTGACCTTCTAGTTGTGCTGAAAGAATCTTCTGAAGGCTATTGTTCATACTGGGTGTGAGAAACAAAAGAGGGTCATGATTTCACTGAAAGACCTTGACAAAAAAGAACTGACATGTTTGTTCTTTGTTGCTTGTATCTCATCACACTGCTGATTATACCAGAACATCCTTGGATTTCCGTGTTGCTAAGTCACTTACTCAGAAATGGTTTGCTCTTCACTGTGCTGCTGGTTTCAAAGTGCTAACATTGAGATGATGTTCTGAGATGGAGGCAATCTAACTTCAAGTACATGGCCAAGTGAAATTGAATCCAGTTAAGTTTGTGATGCGCTAACAGAAAAGGGTTTATTTTGGCTTTATCTTTCTAAAGACGTAGGACTAATGGAGAACTAATGTACTGCAGCATTACATGCAGAATAGAGCAGTGTTGACCACTGTTCTCAGAAATTAGAATTTTTGCAGTCCAAGCTTGTGAATCAGTTCAGTATTCATTTGGGGAGGTGATGGCTATGGTATTATCAATAGACAATTAATCCAGAGACCCAGGTAATTCTGCCATGACAGATGGTGGAATTTGAGCTCAATTTTTAAAAAATCTGGAATTAAGACTCTAATGATGACCATGAAACCGTTGCCAGAAAATCTCATCTGGTTTACTAATGTCTTTTAGGGAAGGAAACTGCCATCCTTACCTAGCCTGGCATACATGTGACTCCAGACCCACAGCAATGTGGTTGACTCTTAACTGCCTCTGGGCAATTTGGGATGGACAATAAATACTGGCCTAGCCAGCAATGCCCAAAATTATGCAGGTTTCCAGGGGCATTGTGTTTATAACTGCACTGTTCTATAATTAAAAACCGAAAGAACTGTGGATACTGGAAATCAGAAACATAAAACCGAAATTGCTGGATAAACTCAGCAGGTCTGGCAGCATCTGTGGAGAGAGTTAACATGTCAGGTCCGGTGACCCGCCGTCAGAACTGCCTTTCCGCTTGGGAACTCTACAGCCTTCTACAGCCTGGACTCAATATCAAGTTCAACATTTTTTGGGCTTGACCTCTCCCATGTCCTTAACCCAACCCCACACATCAGGCTGTGTTATTACATGGTCTGCTCTTACACACAACCCATTGTTAGCCACTAAGTCCCCATTAACAGCTATTCAGCCTCTTAGCCTGATCGTTATCCACTCCTTTACGAACTGTTCTTTTCTCTCTTTGGGTTCTATCTCCACGTATTGTTTACTCCTTTCCCCCTCCCCTTGCCCTATCTTCTGCATAAAAACCACCATTTTCTTGGCTACCATCAGTTCTGGTGGACCCGAAACATTGACACTGATTTCTGTCCACAGATGCTGCTAGACCTGATGAACTTTTCCAGTTATTTCTGTTTTCATTTCTGTTCTATAATTATTCTGTTCTATTCCATCTTAGGTTTTATAGATAAGTTTGAAGGGATAACGAAAGTGTCGTGTAGACAGGGTGGGGAAGCAAAATTCCAATGACTAGTTATAGTAACTGCATTTATATAGGCAGAATTTTCCGATGGCCAGATAATTGTTTCAGAACCATAGGTGGGAATTGCTCATGGGGATCGTGTGGAATCCCATTCATAGCAGACTATGAAGGAATTGCCTAGGAAATTGAAGATTCTGCTGGGCAATTCCCCTATGCTTGCAGCCCTTATAAAGTAATTCTTTAAAATCTGAGAATTAAAGAATTTTGATGGTTAATTAAATTGTTACTCAGGAAAGTTAGTCCATTGAGTACCTAGTCTAGCTTCTGAGTAAATATTAAACTGACCCCTAACTTAGTTCATACACTTCCAACTACAACTCCCGTAGACCATGAATTGATACCTCCTCTCCTTTGGGGACCTGACACCCCTCGCTATCCCCAGGATCCACCACCAGACCCAATCTGCCTTGCTCCAGAACCAACCCCACTTCGTTCCTGCAGACCAAATCCACTGCCCCTTGTTTCAGATCCAAAGACCCTTCCCCAACTCTGCACTCGACGTCTCCCTCACCCCTCCACCCCTGGACTCAATACACCCTTTCCCCTCGTTACTAACCCTAAACCTCTTCCCCAGCTTTGGATCCGACACACCTCTTCCCTGCCCAGTGGACCTGATGCCCCTGCTCCAGATCTGACAGCACCAATTCCCCTGCTGCTGGATCTGATCTTTGCCTGGCGCCTGGACATGATCTCAACAGCAGCTGTCAACGTGGCTGTCTATAAGGCTGGTCTTTTAAATTTCAGAATATGCCATATAACTCCTAAAACCATTATGTACTGGAGCATAATTAGGCCATTCAGCCCATTGAGTCTGCTCCGCCATTAGATCATGGCTGATAGGATGGCACAGTGGCTCAGTGGTTAGCACTGCTGCCTCACAGTGCCAGGGACCCGGGTTCGATTCTACCCTTGGGCGACTGTCTGTGTGGAGTTTGCACATTCTCCCTGTGTCTGTGTGGGTTTCCACTGGGTGCACTGGTTTCTTCCCACAGTCCAAAGATGTGCAGATTAGGTGGATTGGCCATGCTAAATTGCTCATAGTGTCCAGGGATTTGCAAGCTAGATAGGTTAGCCATGAGAAATGCAGGGTTATAGGCATAAGGTAAGGGGGTGGGTCAGGGTGGGAAGCTCTTTGGAGGGTTGGTGTGGACTCAAATAACCAAATGGCCTGCTGTAGGGATTTTATGATCATATGTTTCTCAACCCCATTATCCTGCTTTCTCCCCTTTGTAACCTTTGATCCCCTTACTAATCAAGAACCTATCTTTTGCTATCTTAATTACAGTCAATGACTTGGATTTGAAAAAGGTAATATATTTCTGTGCTAGGAGGGTACTATCAGAATATGGCTCCACATTTCTGAAGGAGTCCTGACTGGAATCTCCTGTCAGAAATGCGGAGCTCTATTGTGGTGTAAAAATGAAGGAGTGGAAAATCTGGCCCATAGTGTCTTCAACTTTGAAAAATGTCTCATGCTGCATTACAGAGGCATGATCAGACAAAAACAGGTGCTTAGCTATTATTTTTGGCAAGAGAATGCGGTATGGATAAAGAATTTGGTTGCAAGGATGAATTTTTAAAATTAATTCTTGGGATGTGTGTGTTGCTGGCTAGGTCAACATTTCTTG